TTTTTTTTTTTTCTTATAAATAAATAGATAATGATTTTTTTCCCCTATCCCTCCTATTGTATACTACGCTCAACAGGGAAATCGTTTAGGTTAATCCTCATCAGCGTCAGTTTATCAATTTTTTATTTATTTATTTATTTTTTTTTTTTTTAAAAAAAAAGGAATTGATTTCATTCGAAGGAGTGGTTCGCATCGGCATCTCCCGCTGGTTTTCTTTCCTGAATGTTTAACTACCAAAACGGAGGACGTCCGTCACTTACCTATAATTAAACATTTCGGTTGATCTTCTTCTCCTGCTCATATTATCAAGGCTTTATTCATTCCCCACTCGAACCAGCACATCTCCATCTCCATCTATAAACACTTTCCTCCACCCCTCCTCCCCTGGTTCACAAGAAATCCAATTGCATCTCCACTTTGTACCTGGAACACGATCCAGTCCACCGGTCTTCCTACGTACCCTCTTCTCTCTTGCTCCATATATGGTTCGGCTGTAGCCACGTTTTTTGCTACCTTCAACTTCTCTTCCATTCTTCACCTTCTACAGCTCAAGCTCTCCCCGACTCTCTACTCTAGTCCCTCCTATCGTATTTCGTCATGGATCTCGCCAGCCTTATCACTCCGGGTCCTGAACCCATCTACAAGTCTCGGGCATCCTACAGCCCTCCTCCCAGCTCGGCGGGTTCCTACAAGCGCCCGGCTGAATACGACTCTTACTTCTCATACTCGCGCGCCCCGCAACCCCCTCTTTCCCCGCCAGTCGAGGACCAGCCCAAGTGCTCTCTTCCCTCTATCTCTGCTCTCCTGGAAAGTGCAGACAGCGCATCGCAATATGCTGCAAGTATGTCTCCCCGAGATCCCATTGCGCACAATGCGCATGACCTCTAGAAGCATTGATGACTGACTTTCACCTACGCAGAGCGTCAAAGAACGAGCCCACCCCCGCGCAGGGAGTCTGAGTTCCGCTCGCCTTATGACTCAGTCTCGACACCAAATGGCCCTCCTACTCCGCCTTTGCGTCCTGAATCCGGCTTCCACAGCAGCAACCACTCTCCCTCTGCTTCGTCCGTGACCAGTGGCAAGGCCATCAAGCTCGAGTCATACTCGCAAACCCCCGTGACACTGCCCAGCCCGTCCGATAGATCCTCGATCTCCAGCCAGGGCTCTATCCACCACGTTTCCGCTGCTCCCTACGCTTCTCCTGCCCCCAGTGTGGCCTCTTACTCTTCGCCGGTTGAATCCTCGGCTCCGTCCACCATGTACTACCAGAGACCTTCCGGCTCCTACCAGAGCGCTGCCACTGTGCCTACTCCGCCGGCTGCTCCTATGCCTGCATCGGCTGCACACCAGCAGATGATCACTCCCGTCACTCCGGCCTGGCAGCACCACCACTACTTCCCGCCTTCCAGCTCGGCACCCTACCAACAGAACCATGATCGGTACATCTGCCGGACTTGCCACAAGGCCTTCTCCAGACCATCCAGCCTGCGCATCCACTCTCATAGCCACACCGGCGAGAAGCCATTCCGCTGCACTCACGCCGGCTGTGGCAAGGCCTTCAGCGTACGAAGCAACATGAAGCGCCACGAGCGTGGCTGCCACACAGGACGCCCCGTTGCCACAGCCATGGTATAAACACTAAGGCTTAAGGACAAGAACAAAAAAGAAAACCGAAACAAAACAAAAACAAAAAAAAAAAGACAACACCCAAGAGCTATACTGCAGGTCTATACAACATCTACCTTGCAGCACCTTCTGATTCTTTGATGATACCCTTTTACGCGTGTTATTTTTTATTACTTTCTACCCGGGTTTAGGGTTCAGGAACAGGTGTCTGGGACAGGAACTCATATACATGCAATTTTTGTTTGCTTCTTCTCTTCTCACCACATGTATATATTATATGGATGGGTTTTATTGAAAGGATCGGAATTAACCAGGCGTCGAAGGAAACCCGGGGGTTTCTCCGGGTTGGGAAGCAACATGTCAGGGTCTCGGGCATATGTCGGAGTCTTGGGCTTCCCTTATTGTTGTTACGTGTTTCATTTGTGTCATTTCCTTTGTTATATTGATGTGACATGACCCCGAGAAAGAATTGTATATTTTGAGTCCTTCTCAATCAGTCTTGTATGTAGATACATCTATACAGATATGCCTATTAACGAACATCATTACTTCAAAATTGATTTTTCTTTTCTGAATGCATGCTACATTCGTATAGGCGCTTACAGAGTAGGACTGGCTAAGTAAAGATTTACTATGCAGGGCAGGGCGGACTTATTGTGTGTACTCAGTGTATATACGCAGTAGTTGGTTATACCTCATGCAACAGCTGTACCAAATGAACATACCCAACCCTCAAGATACCTACCCCTTGATTAAATTATTCAACTCCCCCCCTAACACAACTCTCAAAGCCCGATCTCATTATACCAATTCCAAGTATCATAGATCTAAACCAAATACCATCTCGAAACTTCTCCATTCCACCACCCCAACGGCAACAGCAACAACAAACCCTCTTACAAAGACCGCCAAACCTCTCACTCACAGAACTACTTTGACTAACCCTAACATCCAAAATCTACCAAGAAAAGAGAGAGAACCGTTCATACCCACAGAGTTTCCCCCAACCAAGGTCCATGAAAAATAATTAAAAAAATAGTAAAATTGTAATATAGGTCCAACCGCCGGAAGCCACAGTCCTGGCACTGTCGCACGCAGCCATAGAGCTAATTTATTCCGGATCCAAACTTCACCCGAGGAATAAGTTAAGGTAAAGAATTCCGATCCTATCCTATCCTTTACATTCAAGCACAAACCCTTGCTGACGATCCTTACTCCTAGAAGATGAGGCGTTAAGAACATACGCAGACGTGGCGAACCAAGCCACGCCGGTTATCCACATTGGTTGTTGTCCAGAAGGTCACAAAGGTGTGTGGGTGTGTATGCGGTTGGTCTTGAGACTCATGGGTGATTGTTAGCTTGGACTATGTATTTGGGATTCTTTTCGCAATGGTGGAGTCCGTCGTTTTCTGCTTTGGGGGTGTAGAACTTACTTCGACATGGGGCTTAGGAGCAGTGAGTTGTTCTCTTCCTGTTTACTAGGATTTGCTGAAAGCATAATTTATCAGTCAGTGGCTCTTTTGGCTGCTGGTAGTGCACAGATATTAACTACCAGCCGTACACTCAACAAGGCAAGGTTGGGGTTTCTAGAGTTTCGAGAAGTATTCAACAAAAAAGCACGGCAGAATGCTATCGATAGTTGTGTAGTATACTACGGATTATACTGATGGGATCCGGTGGGTATGTCTATCTCACCTTCACCTTCATCCATCCTTCTGAGGATCCTGCCATCGGTATACAGAGTAGGATGTGGGCGGTGATGCACTGGTCGTAACAAGTTCCACTTGACAATCTTACGCACCTTGCCTAGGAGATAAATCGGACATACTAGACCTGTGTATCAGGGGATTTATCACTATTTCAGTCCAAGACACATCTTACCTATGTGGCTTTGAGATTTATCACTCGCGGCTTTGCTCATCTCCTATTGTGCTAGCACTGTAGGGTTTTCTTAAGATAGAGGGAGGTGCTGGACGATGAGCCTTTGTTAATATGGGGGTCCTTTTCGGCGATTACTAGGTACTTGAATGGTTATATTCTAATATCCGAGTGAAGATCTATGTTACTTCTAAGTACGTATAAGAGCAACACAGTCATGATTCACTATAGACCAGTGTTTTAACAAAGGATAAAGAAATACAGATAGGCAGAATTAGTAGCTAGAAGGAATATACGGGAAGTAGACATAGATTTGATCAACTGGGATGGTATCCATACTCAAGCTGCCGAGGGGCTCTGGATGTGCTCAGATCATCGACAAAGCGACCCAAAAAGCGGCGAGGGCTGAGTACCAAACAGAAAAAAAAAAAAAAAAAAAGGCAAACCTCTCTAACCAAGTCGCAAATTGTTGTATGTGATCATCGTATGTACTTGTACTGTATATAGGCATCTAGAACGGATCGTCGGTGGGACTTGAAATACATTTACACAGTACATACATACCTACTACATACATGAACCAAGTCAACCCACCTCGTACTTGAAACTCTTACGGTCTAGACGTCCTAACAATTCTATGACATTCGACCGTTTGATATTTTATCCGTTAACGCTTCTACATGCCAGCCCATTGAACCCTTCAGAAATGTTTTTTGAAGTTGTCGAAGGCTTAAGTTGAAACCCTACCATGGAATCTCATTAACCTTAGCTTAAACAACGCACCTTTACCAGGGAAACCCACCGAGAACAAAGTTATAGTTCTCACCGGGCCCAGAAAAGTAATGATGCGCTACCGTACTCTCAGACCCCGATTTTCGCCTATGATTACCTTCTTCTACTTAGTAAACGGCGAGACGACTGGATGGGGCAACGGATATGTTAGGAATGAAGTGGATGATTGGGTTTGGGATGGTTAAGGTTTGCGTTGAAGAGGGTTAAAGTGCGATATACGGGTTTGTACGTGGGGCGGTGGGTGTGAGGACGCTGATCGGAATGATCCTGGGTAGTATATCTGTAGATCATGATGACTGACGTTTAGGTTTTGAGTATAACTCAATATGTACAGTGTGAAGTTGAGACAAATAGTTTCAGGCATTGGTATAAGCTTCTACCAAAGTACGCACACATGACAAATATAGTATCGCAATCGGAATCATAAACGAAAAAGAGGTATCACAAAAGACCGTTACTCCAAGCCAGAAAGGTAAATCAAGCGTGAACGTCAACATGGCCGTTACTTCTTTGAGTAGGATCCTCAACGGCCCTTCCTCGATCTCGTATAGCCCTCATTCTTCGAACGGCTTGCCCAAAATCAAGTTGCTCATAGTCCTTGGGCATATGCTCACCGCTGTAGATGCAGAGCACCCTCATGCCTGGCTTGTAGACTAATCCGCTGAGCAGTTTGGGCGTGATGAGGAAGTACTGACCGCCACCTCCGTTCTCGGAGGGGGCACAGGCAATATCCACCAGGCGTCCGTGTACCATGCGTTCATTGCGCGGGTCCATACCCTGGTTAATCTCGTCGACGACACGGAACGGAGATGCGGAGAGCGACTGCAGAGCCATGAGGTAGAAGATCGTACTCACGGCTCTTTCTCCACCTGATTGGCGGTGAGAGTCGAGGAGGGAGAGATTCTCGTGTTCTCTGAACTTCACGTGGATCTGGATGGACCACTGGTCAAAGTCGCTGCCTCCAGGCTCGCCGTCGGCGCCTGCTTCATCCTCTGCTTTGTCTAATGTGACCTGACCGGCACAGCCAATGCGGGCAAATGAATCGGAGAAAGCATCACTTATGCTCTTTATAATCTCATCGAGCTTGGGTTCCCACTTCCCGCGGATCTCGTTGATGGCGTGATCATATTCCGCGAGTTGAGTCTCGAAGTCGGAGAGCTTGCCACGCAGCTTTTGTATCTGTTTTTCACGTTCTTCGAATTCTTTAATGATGTTGCTGCTCCCCCCATGCGTGAGCTCCAGGCGAGCCTTCTCCGAATCGATATCTGCTTCCAGTTGGTCGACAGTATGATCGACCAAAGTGGAGAGCAGCGCAGCCAAGTCAGGCTGACGCTGCGACAGTTGTACAACCTTGTTTGCCTGCTTCATCATATCTTTGACGGCTACCGACATGGTTTTCACTTCCTCATTCGCGTCTTTCAGCTCGTTATTTTTAGCTTCCAATCTGTCTCTGTGTTCTGTATTGCGATCCTTCAGGATTTCTACGTCGGAGAAAGCCTCAATATAGCGGATCTTTAACTTGATGAGCTCCTCGTGCAGTATTCGAAGATGTTCGACCGCGGTCTGTCCAGAATTAGCACCGAGGCATCACGGGAATAAATCAGATAATACATACAGCGTATTCAAGTGTCGCCTCAGCTTTCTCAATGGATAGCTGATCCTGTTGACTGCGAATATCAAGAACCCTGGTTTTTACATCCTGAAAAATTTTCTGGATGTCTCTCATTCGGAGTTCCTGCTGGCCTAAGATGGTATGTTAGAATCGCCCAAAAAGGAGAAAGACGAAGAAACATACGAATTCTCTCGGGAATAGCTCGGTAGTTTGTAAGAGCTGTCTGCTTTTCGGACTTCTCTCTCTCAAGTTCAAGCTGTATAGTAAAGTTAGTGGATCTATCATCAGAATTACAAACAAATGGAAGATCATACCCGTTCCCGTTCACACTCTTCATGATCACGACCGAGCTGGAGTAGATTGGCTCTCTCTATGTCTATTTTTTCTTGCAACTGGCGCATTTCATCCTTGAGAACTTGAATATTTTGAACTAAATCCTGCTTCGCTGATGCATCCAGGGGTTGCGATGTCCACACCTTCGCCGGCCTCACCTGTCTCACACGAGTTGAAGTCGCACTGGGACCATATTCTCTTCGTCGCGAGACTTGGTAGCTTTGCTTCCCAGACACCCAGGAGGATACCGGCCCCTGTTCCATTCTGCGAAATTCTTCGTCCGTGATGTTTCGACGGCCGATAGGCGTTTGGTTCAGCCGATTCTCGCTACACAGTGTGGCGATCACCGGGTCTGGTCCATTGATGAAATCTTTCGCCCAACCATCGAACCCAAGATTCCGGATCTCGTCCTCAGATCTGGGAGGACCGAAATTCTCCAAGGGAACAGAGCTGGTCTTGATGCTGATTTCGTGCAGTTTTTGCCCGATATTCAGTTCCCTTTGAAGTGTCCTGAAATCGTTGCGAGACTGTACAGTGAATGCGATGAAATCATTCCTTTGCAGTAGTGATTCGATAGCATCAGCATATTTAGGGTCCTGTACAGAGCAGGTGACAACTGGAGGCCCAAACACTTCCTTTTCGAATTTGTCCTGATTCGCCTGGATCCACTGATAAGCCTTGTAGGAATCGTATGATAAGTGTTTCAGCTTTTCTTCTTGTCGTCCCGATTGAGAGTCTAGTCTCTGCAAATGTAATTCCAACTCCTTGACCTTGTCGGTTTTCTCCTTTAGGGCTTCGTGGAGTGGCCTTCGTCTATCTTTGATTTGGTTTGCCTTATCCTCAAGTTCCCGCATCTCTCGCCGCTTCTCTCTCTGTTGTATTGATGAGCATGGGTGTCTGCAAGCGTCTCCAAGCTACTTACAATCTTCTCATTATACCAATCAGCATCGAACTCAATAGCCTCTTCAGCCAATTGGCGGTTGAGTTTGTTGATGGTCTGCTGAATTTTCGTCCCGTCCTCTTTCGATTTGGCATTGCTCTTCTTCTCCGCATCTATTCTTTGTTCTAGCTCCTTCATTCTTTCTTCATATTGCTCAATTTTTCTCCCTAGATCTGAAGCCGTACGTTCTGCTTCCTCAACACGTGTTTTTTTGTAACTGACGACTTCGTCGATCTGCAGACAATACTGTTGTTTCGCATTGACTGCCCTCAAAGAAGGTTCAAGCTCAGCCTTGAGGTTTTCGAACTCACGGGCAATTTGCTCTTTTCTCCGTTTCTTGTCCTTAAAATCATTGTGCATCTCCTTATACTTCACCATTGGCCGGGCCAGCTCCAACATCTCGATCTTTCTCTTGATCTCAGTTCTCTGTCGCATCCGTTCAACATCCGCCCTCTGCATCTCTTGTCGCCCTTCGAGATTAGCTAGTAGATCCTTGTCGCTTTTGTTATCCGCTTGTAATTTCTTCTGTTGGGCCCTCAGCTCCTTCAGGTTATCGTGCCATTCAACCATTTCAGCACCGGCTGCAGCCCTTTGTGTGGAGTTGAGGAGCTCTATGGGCGTAAGAGCAGCAAACTCGCTGACTTTATCTTGCGGCAGAAACTGGCACAAGTTGTCAATTTGAATGGAGAACGACTGCGCAAGCTTCAGTACCTGGGTGCGCGTTGCGGCCTGCCCATTTATAGTAAACGAGCTTTTGTTGCCATCGCGCTTAATCGTCCGAGTCACGACCGGGTTTCGACGAAAATGGGGTCCGCCTGCGAGCTCGATCTCAATTGTAGCCTCCCTGCAACCGTGCTTCACGAATTCACCGGAGTCCTTGGCCCGTCCCAAATGCTAGAATACAAGGTTTTATATCAGTACAGCTCTTGCCATATCACCCAGTATCAATTCTAGCATGAATCAAAGGACAATGATATATCATACCGCAGGCCCCCATCCCAGACCCAAACATATCGCACAAACAAGCGTACTCTTCCCCGTTCCATTCGGCCCAATCACCATATTCAATTTCGGACCGGGAAAGAATTCCGCAGACGTATAGGTCACGAAATCAGTGACCTTGATGCGCACAATAGCGCCGGGTTTGTATCCTTCCTGTACTGCTCCTGCTCCATTGTGCTGATCTCCATTTTGCGTCGGTTGAGAGTTGCGGGGTTTCGTGATTTTGGATCGCTTTGACGCCCCGTTCACATTGTCGCCATCTTCCTCCTCTTCCTCCTCCTCATCACTTGTCCCACTAGAAGTATCTTCTGTGTCTTGCCCGTCGTCACTGCTCTGGTTGGCTTCCAGACGGATCCTTTTACTGCTGTTCGACGCGGGCGTGGGGTTGCCAGTTGAGCTTGACGAGTCGTCGCTCTCCTCTTCTTCGCTTCGTTGTCGGCGACGAGGGACTGTCGCTAATGAAGGCATCGTTGGAAGGCCACGGGCGGCTTCACGTTAGGCCCCCGCGCATTTGGTAACGGCAATATCGTGATTTTTAAGACTTAATGCGATGTTCAACACGGACGCGACGCGCCCGCTGTATCTATCAATCTAAACCACATTTTGGTTAGGCGGTCACGGGCGGCAGTTTTAAGGTTCCATGTAACTTTGACTTTCCTTTTTGGGATGTGGATCTTTGCCCTAATTTGGTTGAGCTGCTGTTGTGTTTTGTTCACGATGTTGTGGATAGCTTGGTGCGAGTGAATATATTCTTGGGGTTACTGTGGCTTGGACTACTGCAATTTGTTTGTTTTGATTTGGGGATTGTTTAATGTGTTGATTACTCGTCACATTGTTACTTTGTTACCTTATGCGTAGAATCGTACATAGTTCATACCGTTTAGTGCTAATCGTTTTCTCATACCAGACTCTTTATCTCATACATTGATTAAATTTGAAGGAGACGCCTGACAGACTCTAAAGTCTGGAGACCTCATTTGCAATGACTGGATAGGAAGGGCAGAAATCAGTTTTGCGTCATGTCTTAAGCATATTCACGTCTCTCCTCAATCCATCCAGGTCTCAGGTACGCTCCGTCAAAGTTCATATTGAAGCTGGTCTCATGGACATAGTCCACATTCCAATCAATCTTCATCTCAGCACCATCCACACTCTGACTCCACACCGTCACCGCGATCGTGTTATCCCCATTATAATCAAGGACACCCGGAGGAACAGGGAAGTCGATCTGATGACCGATATAGGGGTTAAAGCGACCATACTGGTATCCATTAACGAAGAGCAGAGCGCGCAGCTGGTTAGTGTATCCTTCCGCAGAGGTAAAGGTCACATTCGAGGGAGCAGTCAACCGGAACGAGATAGAGACGTCCAGTCCCTGGGGCACGGAGAGGGGAACAACGGTGCGGAAGACCCGAATACCAGCGCCGGGAACGGTCAGGCTCGTGCTGTTCGAAGGCACCTCTTCGGCCTCATCGAACTGATATCCCGGGAGATGGATACCGACTCGCTCGGCGTACAGACTGCCCTCGTTGAGTGGGGCGCGGACCGGATCGAGGTGGTCTTCGAAGCCTGCGTTGCCGGCGAGTTTCCACTCGGTGAAGGAGTAGCTTCCGGGACCGACGAGAGTGGCGTTTGTGATTCCTCGGGGATCAGTTGCTCCCTCGCGCAGATCGTGGGCTGAATTGTCCATGACGACGACTAGGGTGTTGTCTCCGTCTGTACTGAGGGTTGCGTTGGAGAATGAGAATGTCTGGTCGTTCTGCTCGGTTGTCGGGGTACCGAGCCAGGAGCCGATGAATTCTGAGTTCAGCCAGACAGAGTAGCCGAATGCGCGACCTCCGGTGATGTTGAGATAAACGTCGGTTGGGGGCTCGTCGGTGCTGGGGAAAGTGGCGCGGTAGATGTGGTTGCCGACGTGGATACCGTTCTCGTCCACGTAGAGGACTGGGTTGTTTGGTGCCGGGGGAGTAGGATTGGGCGAGTTTGTCTTCGTAGCCACTGTTTCTTTTGTTAGCTGGCGGGTGCTACTGGCGACCGAGGAGGAGAGAGTAACATACCAACCCAGGCCTTGCTTGTAGCAGAATAGCCCTTCGCGATTTCAGGGAGACTGTCCGCATACTTCCAGCCGGAGATCGTGGGAAGTTCGAACTTGGCATCGCCTCCCAAGGTTGTGGTTATGACACCACCCTTCGCTGGCTTGACGGATGTCTTCTTACCATTCCAATTGACCGAGCATACCGACTTGGGCGCAAAGATGCTGACCTTTGTAGAATTCTGGATATCTCCGGTGAGCTTCAAGTCACAGCCTTCCAATCTAGCCGAGCGAACTAAGTAGGGACCATGGACGAGGACTGATGCATGTCAGCGAGTCTATCAAACTATTTGTATACCGCCATCAAAGTGGACTTACCAGTGTTGTTGCCGGCCTCGGCAGGGTCATTGTTGAGAGGAGGAGACCAGAATACATGGGCAGCAGACCGATCGAGAAGAACAATGCGTGTTCCATCACCAAGCTCAACCACGCTCATACCCGCTCTCTGCATGAAAGATACTGTCACATTGTTTGCTCCGGGGTGAATCTCGATGTTCGCAGTGCGTCCTTTGTCGGCGAACTTGGCCGAATTCACTCCCTTCACGGTGAACTCTCCAGATTCACCAGTGGGGACCCAGAGAGCCAGCACTTCTTTACCATCGATAACAGCATAGGTAAGGACTTCTGCCGTAGAGTAAAGGAGCGTCTTCGAGCCGAAGTTGAAGTCTGTGACGATGATCTTGGACTGGTGACCATTGAGAGTGATTTGGGAGCCGTATTGAGGAATAGTGACTTGTCGCGTAGTTAGCAGATTATCATTGTGATATACACGATTCAGACTGCAGGAGGTAACATACGGGCACCATCGGATGTGTTAACCTTAACTGTGAACTTCTCGACCGTTCCAGAGGGAGTGTATTCGTGCTGAGTCACGTAGAAAGCCGCGCCATTGTCAGGGTTCCGCAGCTCAGAAACTGAAACAGCTGGGTTACTCGAATATTTCGTGCTCTGTTGACCCCTGTTAGCGTTTCGCCGTCGACGACATTGTTCTGATCTACTTACGTTGCCTAAACGATCGACTTTAGACAGATCCTGGGCGACTGTATCCTGGGGTTAGCTTGGCAAGCTTCCACATATCGGACAAAAGAGGCGTACTTTTCGTGAATTGAGTGAGCACTTTCGTCTCATAGTATTTCTCAATAAGCTTTCGGTTCTCCGAAATTGGAGAAGAGTAATCGTAACTCGTCGCTGGGCTCATCAGCACCTGTGGCATAAATTCGACTTGGGGATAACTCACCGACATCTGTTGAGCCGTGCCAGCCCCAGTTTGTACCGCCATACAACATGTACAGCGAGATAGCACTGACTCTTTGATAGATCAGGTTTCGGTAGAAGAGGTTCGCGAAATCCGGGCCAAGATCATCCGGGCAGCCTCCTTGGGGTCCACCCCATGGGTTGTATGAACCGCCCTGGAACTCGGGCATAAAGCTTGGCTGAGTGCTGCAATGGACATTAGGATGTGTAGATAGTCTCAGACAGGGCAAAACTCACGGTGATAATTTCTTGAAGTAGCTGATTTGAAGGTAAGTCAGTATTTCACTCATACAAATTCGTGTACTATCGCACTTACTCGTAGTAGGTCAAGGTTTTCTGAGATAGTTTAGCATAAATCACCAGAGAAGGCAGGGCGTTACTCACATATGGGATATACTCTCCGTTAGTTGAGAGACACTCACTGACATTGCAGGTCCAGCAAGTGGGATAGCTGTCCACGCCAATGACGTCGACATTTCCGGTAGCGTTGGAGAGGTCCTTGGACCATGAGTGACCGTTCTGGTATATATCAGCCAAAATTTCTGTTTCTTCAGCAAGCGAGCGTAGTGCCCTACCATGTTCGGAAGATTATGGATCAGAGGAGCATCAATGCCATTTTCCCGAGCAACATCCTCCAGATACTGCATGTATTCCTGGCCAGACGTGTTGGGCTCCTGGGTTTCCTCGTCAAGCCACTGCTCGGCGTACTCATTCTCGATCTGATACAGGATGATATTTCCGCCGTTAGTGATGAGATGAGGAGCAATGATTTTGGAAATGTTAGCCCAGTACGGGGTCAAAGCCTCCAAGTACCGAGGGTCGTTATTCCGTAGTTTTCCATAGGCACCTGTAGTTGCCCACAGAGGGAGACCGCCAGCATTGGCTTCCGCATTGACGTATGGGCCTGGTCGGATAATCATGTAGAGGCCTATCTCTTTGGCTAGAGTCATGATCGAAGTGAAGTTGTGGGCTCCGTTCTCGAAGTCAAGAACGCCGGGCTTGGGGGTATGATATCCCCAGTGATTGTAGATGGAAAAGGCAGTAAAACTATCAGATTCGTCATTAGCGTGTTGACAAAGGGCGTCAAGAATCTAGGACTACCTACCCAGCGGCTTTGATCTTCTCGAGTAGATCTCTCCATAATTCGGGCCTGATAATCCATTAGCTAGAGCGTTGCCGTTGTGGAACTCTTGCCTTACACAGGAATACGCCAGTAATGGAACTATATGATGTTAATGCATTTGAATTATCCAGAATATAGGCGATTGGGTAAACAAACCTCTCCAGAGAAAACGAAATGTCTCTGACCATTAATCAAGAAACTATAGTGATCCCTGTGTAGCCGTGGTGTCAGAGCCAACCGCCTTGAATCCGCAATTTGACTGAACCCACCATTCAACAACGTCTGTCAAACCATTGTCGTGCAACGGCCAACGGGTTGAGTTCTGCTGACCAGAAACGCCAACGAAGGACGCCCCCAAGGCAAGCCCGCTGAGCACGGTCTTGGAGATGAGCATCTTGTGAGTCTGCCTGGCAAATCCCTGAGATCCAAACTTGATCTCATGTCGCGGACGGGGACTCTTGCCCTAATAAATAGTAGCATGGAGGACGCCAAGTAGCCGGTCAAAATCCATCGTCGTTTTACCCCACACTAGGAACAATACCTGAATGGAGTAAAGAACATTGCATCATTGTGAGTTTGTGGTCGCTAGATCGTGCCACTCCAGCGTACATTCGACATGCATCCTTGGCGATATTAAGGTTTGTACGAATTTGAGGCATAAGATACATCATTCCTCCAAGCTACTAGTATACTGATATACAGCTTTCAATTCTACATCGATCATAGGGACTTGTATATTTTGATAGGTTATCAACGTTCAAAAGATAGTCGTTGACGGTTGACTGGGTTGAAATTGCTTAAACTCCCTGGGGTTGTGTTTATCCGGGGGTCCCGCGCGTTGTTTAATTTCCACTCACCTCCACAATCCGGCCGACTTTAATAAATCCCCACAGGCTCGGCGGGACTTTCATATAAATTTTCCGTCCGTATAGGAGACGTTCCGTGAAGCCGACGCCGCCGATGTCGAACTACCCGAACTCTCGTATTGGGCCTTTTAAGGGTCTTGATCCCCACAGCCGACAAGACGCGGCTAATACAAGTCTGATTCAGGGTAACAACCGAGCCATGAATCTATTCTTACAGGCTACAGTCTAACAGACGGTAAATTCCGAAGGCGCGCCGTCTGTGCTATACAGAGCTAACCGACCAATAACGAAGCCTAGTCCCTGGTCAACCGCACTTAGTAAATTGGGTGAACTTCCCATCGCGGTTATATTAATGCATAGACTATCATTTTTACCTAACCCAGAAACTTCCGAACCATTTCTACCCTATCATATCACCCGTTAGCCAATTCTCGGGGTCACTTCGGCATTACCCACACTGGAAATATGTACTTACGTAGCGAACGTGCCCGCGCTCACAGGCATCGCCCGAAGAAGAGCCGGTCCGAGGCCATAAAACAGTCCTCTCAAGCCACCAGTGACCCAAGTATGCCGAAAAGCGTATCTCATGCTGCGGTATTTTTTCTCGGCCCCAAATCCATCGCTTTGCATCTTGCTCTTGATCACGTCCAATGGGTGACTCAGTAGCCAGAGCGCCTCCCCCGCAAGACCTCCACATAATGCGATCTGCCAGTTTGGGAGTTCTTCGCGTTTCTTCTGTTGACGGTCCATGGCAATGCCCACGAGGCCTTCATATGCTGCAAACCACACTCCGTAGCCGTGGATTTCTCGGAGGAGAGTCACCGCCTGTCCTCGATAGATACCGGCGATGCCGCCGGTACGGATGAGCTTGAGAGCACAGTCCCAGGGACCGTTGTATATTCTGGCTGCGCCGTGAGGTTGCGTTTGTAAGCGGATACGGATATGTTCTACTGGACCAGAGATGATGCTGGTGGCTACTCCGGCTCCTGCACCGGCGAGATAGAATTGCGATAAGGATAGGGTTGAATCATGTCCTGGGCGTCTATCTTTATTGTAGAACTCAATGGCTTGTCGGATCCCATGGAAAGCACCGAATTGAATGCTGACCTGGAGAAGGTTAGCTAGAGGTGCGTTCGTTGGGTGGCTAGATGGCCTACGCAAGCTCCAACGCCCAACAGCGGCATAAGCGTTCCCTAGCAGGTCAGTAGCTTATTCCAACCAGCTTTTAAAAATTCCCATACTTTGTAAAATGCCAAAGGTCCTTCTTTGGCCCAGATGTTGCGAGTGGTCGACAAAGCATTCCCTCCGTTCTGGGTTTGTAGCCGGACCTTGACTAGATCTGATGGATATCATTAGATTGAGATTAACCAGATAAATGTCCTCACCATAAGTCACATACCGAAAGGCTGGCCTAGACACCATTAGTTCTATCTACCATTCACATTGTACAGTAAATGGTACTTACCGATCAAGACCTGAGCAGCACCACCAGCCGCTCCCGCTGTGAGATCCGTAACAGTCTCCCTCCAAACAGCCACATTGGGTTCGTTCGTTTTCAGTTCCGAAGCCATGATGTGACAATTATTGCTATAACCCGACCAAAAGAGCATATATATAAGTGCTCTAGAGCCCTGCTGGCCAAAGCCCACAAGTCGGATTCTAAACCGAATTGTGGATACTTCGGTGTTGCATTCCGAAAGAGAATGTACAATGTCGGGCGATAAATACCGAGCATGAGACGCAATACGATGCTTAATTAACTAATTAAAAAGCGAAGTATAGTATCCCCGACTTACAACATGTCACTCGCCCTGGGAAAACGCACCTGACATCTTTCTTGGCTGCTCAACGGCGGAGCACGCCGTCATCTGGGAAGCCTGGCATCATTCAGGACTCCTCCAGGACTCCTCCAATTCGCAATGAGCCAAATGTATGACCACTTCCTCTCCGTTGTATCTCACAGCTAACGGGGAAAACCCAGTCTTCATACGCTAAAGGGTCAGTGGAATACGCAAAGCTCCAAGATGCCATCGACAAGCTCAAGCGCCAGCTGCCCATTAGGACTCCCTTGACAATTAACTTGAAGGTAGTATGTCAACTACTCCTGCAACAATAGAAGCACGTATCCATGTCTTAACTCAATACCAAGATCCAATATTACTCAATCAACACATATACCATCCCCTCCTCACACCAACAAACAATCGCCACCTAAGCAGAAGCCACAACCGACCAAACCAACGAAATCATCGAAAAGGCCCTAGACGCCAAACCCACCTGAGAAAACATGACCTTCACCAGCCGAGCATCCACCTTCCTCCGAGCCGCCGAACTAATCTCCACCAAATACCGCTACGACATCATGGCCGCCACCCATGCTAGGCCAAGACAAGAATACTAGGGCTAGTGGTACTAATGACAAGGCGACGAGCACTAACTTGCTGTTTCGCTTTACGAGCATGAGAAGTATCAAGGAGGATTTCCAGTTAGCAGATGAGGTGACATACCCTTCAAATGAAGTATAAGTGGATGTAAAACTATACACTGGCATGCCCACAATATTGACAAACAGCAACCAAACAGAAGATATATACAAATCAGAACAGATCTATATATACAAAGAAAATGCTATTGAGCAAGAGATCCAAGAGAAAAGAAACCTACGGGTCATTCTGTCCGTTAAAGATCTTTTCAATCTCCAACCAATCCGAGTGGTCTACACCGGTAAGTGGCAGGGATGGATCAAAAAAACTGGTGTAAATCCCCTCCGCCTCCACCGAAAGGTCGAGATTCCAATCCCAGTCCACTTGCATATCAAATATCGCATTAGCGGCATCCGGGTGCATCCACGTGTCCAGAAGCCGGCTTTCATCCCGGTCTTGTTCCCAGCATTCGGTAGCCACGGCCGTGTATTGGGATGGTGGCTGTGGAGGAAGGGCCGAAGCCGATGTGTGAGAGCCCGTTGCGTCTACTCTCGGGCCGAGCAAAGATAAATTGATTGCACTCGGCGAGCCTCCATCTACTTCTTCGTCTTGCTCTCTATCTGCGCCTAGAATATGGTTTGGCCATACGTGCAAACAAGAATGTGTGATGTCTTGTAAACGTCGCTCGGCGGCTAGGTTACCAGCTCGGGACAGAAACCGAAGAACATCGAATGCTTGGTCTAGGGCTGGGGGAGGCTGATCCTGAGCCTTGTCCACGAGGCCCATCATGACTAGAACAAAGGCGCCGGAAAATGTAGCGTCCAAATCGAAAAAGCCATATCGGGCTGCAATGATGGTTAGTGGGACAGCCTGGGATGGAAATAGGATATTACATACGTATGGTCTGTTTTTGCTTAAGTGCGTGAAGAATGGCTAGACTTTTCGTCGCGGCCTCATTACACGTCTCACATAGGCGGCCTAGCGCTGCTGGGAGAGGCTGCAGTGCTTGTTGATTATTTTGTCTTTGGACCTCCCGACGAACACGTTGCAGAAGAACAGGGCGAGTACAAAGTATAATGGCCTATCGACCCTCTGGTTAGGTAGAGCCATATAGTACCTTTCTGGGGTTGACTGACCTGGAACAACATCAGGTAGAGCGACGCGCCTGTCCGTGTTACTGTCTGCAAAGGACGGCTGAAATCAAGGACAAGAGCAGGGGGGAAAGAACGGCCTGTTTCATAAAGATCCTGAAGGATCTTTTGGATTTTGCGGACAAGCTCCATTTGAGTAATGGATGTATTTCCATATAGAGCTAATATCTCGTTAGAGGCGGGACGTATCGCTTGTCCATCAGAAATAACACATACACGACATGATCTCATCCGTAGCACGCGCAATACGGACATTGATAGCCAAAGCAATGGGGGACTGAAACCCAATGGCTTGCCGAGGCAGCTCAGCGCGCAGCTGTCGCTCATCTGAGCCAGCCGCCAGCCCTAGGCCGGAAGAAAGACGTCTACACCATCAGGTTAGTACTTGAGTCTTACATACATAGGCTAAAGACCTGCCGATCCAGCATGTACACTGTCCACCAAAGTCTCACGCGATGAGCTGTCTCTGAAGGCAGACAGCGTTGTTCACGGGCTGGTTTATCACAGCCCAAGGCTATAGCTAGTCGTAAAGCGAGGCCGATCTGTATCCGGTTAGTCATTGTGCCTGGTTTCAGTTCACCAGTTCTTCATACATATAGATACGCATCATGCTTCCGGTCGCACCACTGGAGGTAGGTGGCGACGAGTGTTAGGATCTCAACAGCAATAGCCCCTTCCTCGCCCAATTGATGCAAGGGAGACAACCGTCTCATTGCTTCTGCAAAAAGACTCGCACCTGGGGGTTGGGAGGAAGGGTCTTCTACATCCATCAGCTTGGCCATTGCCATGACAAGCAGATACTCGGTGAACCAGGTCGTGTGCATCTGGCGTTCCTGTGTTTGGTCACCCTGGAAGAGCAGTACCATGTTATCAGAAAAGGTGCGGGGGTCAAAAAAATGCTGGCTAACACCAAGGTAAAAGAGGAACCGATCGAGTAGATGCTGTGACTCCTCTAAAGATGGGATGGTCGGCACAGCATTTTCGCTGACCAGTGGCCTCGCCGACGTCCATTTCGTTGCAGCTTCAGTGGAGCCTCTGTTATCGGGGGTCCGTAAGATTGCGCTGTTGGTTGGGTGGTTCCTATCAAGAAGTGACTTGACTTGGGATTCAAATGCCGGTCCTGAAGTCAAATCGGTTGCTAATTCAGTCAGTCAAAGTTCTATGATGAACGAGCTACCGACTTACCTGGGCTAATCCCCGCGTCGCTTTCTTGATAAGGCATGGCTTCAGCTGTGTATTCATTGCGAATACCTGTGCCCGATGTGGCAGGGGGAGCTGCTAATCCTTACAAGTCATGATTTGTCCGTGACTCCTTAGCATTGTTTCCCACATACCTTGCGAAAGAGTATTAAGTTGCTCTTCATATAATCGAATCTTATCTAGTAGATTTTTGACATGTCTATGTATTGAACTGTCAATCAAAGCCCCCCATTGTTTGTGAAAGAAAGGTGGACATACGCCTCGGTATACCTTCTACGACCGGCATGGCCAGGTACACATTCCCAGTTATGTCTAACGCAGCTGCGACAGGGCTGATCTCCAGAGCATTTCACCTTACGTCGGCGGCAAGACTCACATCTATAGAATGTCAGTATGGTACCGTACCGTTACTGCGTGGATTGGACCTTCGGATGGAACCTCCGAAGATTATCAGTACTCACGCATTGGTCGCGCGCGAATTTGTAGTCACCATCTTCAAATGCTGTCATAAGAGCAATTGGATTGGAATACCAAGTATTCGACAGCACTAGTAGTATCGTGTATTACGTCTATGAGTGAAAGAATCCATGGAAATCGTCGGTACTCAAGATAGTTGAGGTTGTTCGAGTGGAAGGTGGGTGGGGTTTAACTCGGAAGAGATCCCGGTCCCGGTCATTAAATTAAATAAATCAAATATTATATTTGAACTAAACGGTAAACCCTAACTACCGTAGTTCGTGGTTACAAATTTCCACCCAAGATTCAAGATACATACATAGAATTTTCCCCATATCCATAACAGCCTGGATATATGGTCCGATATTGGAGTTTTATCAGTACGCCGTACAGTGCCATAGTCTGGTTTGCTCTTTTGGCTCATTTTTACCGATATATCGGATGTGGACAATGTGCCTTTGACACTTACTACCGTGTATTGATTGAGGCCCATACGAAAGAATCCGAGAACAATAGTGGGATTCTAGAGTAAACTACCACCGAAGACTAAGCATATTCTTTATCCGACGCTTGGCCTCCGTCTTAAGAGCATAATATTCCTGCTTCGTCCGTCCTACCGCATCACGATTCTCCACGGCCCGACGCAGAAGGTACGATAGACAATCCCCGAGAGTTCCCCAACTGAGACACTTGTATACTTCAGGAGACGCCTTTTGTGCCGCTTGACTGCTGTCATCACGAAGCTGCAGCAGACGACAACTAACCTCGTCCGCCATCCCCAGCAACTGTCCATACTGCACCTTAGTTGTGGGTTGCCCAGCGGCAAGTCGGTCCTTGTATAAGGAGTCGGCTGCTAGAGCACTTTCCTTATTATGTGTAGCAAGAAACAGCTCTGCAGAGGGGAACTGTCGTTCAACCCCAAAGGAACCGTATTGGCGGCGCAGAATTCCAGCTGCAATTGCGTTGTAAGAGTCATCTGTACCCGGTTTTGTATCATTAATCAAATGGCGTGGCTCGGAGTTGATATATGCGCCTCGGACTAGTTTCACACCCAGAGTGAACCCTTCCTTGTCTGCTATGCCAAGATGGGAAAGAAGATTCTCGGGAGTTGACTTGAGATATGCTTGGTAAGTATTGTATACCACGGCAATACCGTTTCGATTGTAGCGACGCATCAGATCTAGAGCAACAGCATCAATACCGGATTGGACAGACTGCTGCTCTGCGTCGACAAAGATGCGTGCATTACGCTCAATAGCACGAGTGCAGACATCCTGCAAAGCAAATATCATCTGCTCCGGTAAGGGCTGGTTGGAAGAGAGCGCATCCATTACTTGAGGACCTGCCCCAGTGAGTCTGAAAGTATCGTGTTAGCCTTTTAGCAAATAGCCCCGACGGGGAATCAGCTCACTTCAGGGCCAAGAAATCATCAGCTCCCACCATTTCGACCGTCTCCAGAACCCCTTGCCTCCAGGCTTCAATTTCAGGGCTCTTTGTCGCTTGTGCGTTGGCCTTCTCATTGTTCGTTGTAGGGCTATTGGCCTTCTGGGATGAGGCGTCGACCACAATTTCTCGAGCGTATGTAAGGATGACACCTTTAAAACCCATGTGCTTGATCCGGTCAATAGTACCAGTGACTTCGGCAGCGTTCTCCCCAGCGCAGAAGTGGTTGTAGAATGTTGTTTTTAGGATCCCGCGTAATATGGCATTCTTATTCACATCCAAGAAAGATAGTCGAGGGTGAGCGATGACGGAGAGCGTCCGCAACGCTGGAGTCAACAGCCATGGGTGGGACGAAATAGTAGCCACTAAAAGTGATCGCCATAGCATCTTACCTGGCAAAAGAGAGTGTGGCGGCAGTTGACCTTTAGGTCCAGATACGGTCGATCCATCTCGACGCAGCCAGCGCGGGTCATGTCGGCCTCGAGATGTATTCACTGCCAACCGAGCCCCTCGGAAAGAGCCACTAGGCGGTCTTGAAGCCATAGATACAAAGTGCTAGTTGAACTACTCAATACCAGCATAGACAGTAAGCTATAAGGCTGGTATAATATAAACAACCAGAATAAGGAAGCCCCACATCGTCCGAGTGGTTCGGATCATATCCGAAGCTGTCGGGGGTTGTCTCCGAAAAGGCGTATGTCAATGGAAGGGCGTGTTTCAACATCAACGATTGCTATCAAGATCTATACCCTATGAGTAAAGAGCCATTAGGTAATGATCCTTATCGTTCAACGTGGAACTAATCTTATCAATCCCTGTCGCTTCGGCCCTTAACAGAGTCAAGGAGACAAGAGCGAATGTTAGCTAGTGACGATATTGGCAAGGATCACTGGTCCTTGCTCTTATAGTCTGTATCTAGCATAGTTACAGTCAATTCTTGACATTTTGACCAAATGTTAACTCGTAGTTGAATCGTAGGTAGGTACTTAGTACTCCGTACTACCTGATATAGCTAGTTACTAAATACGGTTAGATTAAGATGGAATTGTGATCGAAAAAAGGGCAATATCGGATACCAGTGGCAGTTCCGAACACCCACCGCCTTCCGCCGGTGGGTGTTTGGCAGCTTAAAGGAATTTTCAGCGTAAAGGAATATTATCAATTTCGTACCTTTTTGAAGCTATACAAACTATAAAAAATGCTCAAAACATCTAAAATTTCAGATTTATATGTAGATAAGGCCATTGAAGCTGTCTATTTTGAAAAAAAAAAAAATCTAATATTGCAAAGATTGCGCGAGAATTCGGCTCCATGGCCGTATCCACGATAGGAGAAAGCCTTGCACAGCTCGAGATGTACTATACAGAGTATTAGTCGATTATTGATATATTGCTTTATTAAAAGACTTTCTCCTGATCTTAAATTAGGCCCTGTAGTTTAAAGGCCAGAGAAGAAGAAGTGCTTAGATACAGAGGATGTCGGACAGCTTCAATTCTGATATACTCAGCTTACCAACTTCTTTAAAAATATCCCTGCTTTTCTCGTGTATAATTTGTGCCTTACATAGAAAACAAAACTACAGCTTCAGATACAGGATTGGTAGAGGAATCGGGTGATTAACTTTATTTTATCGATTCTAGGCGTTTAGTGGTGATAATGTGAATTGCTTCAATTTCTTCCTTTACGCTGAAAATTCCTTTACGCTGCCAAACACCCACCGGCGGAAGGCGGTGGGTGTTCGGAGCCGCCACTGATACGCCGAGGAAAGGTAGCTGGGAGTCTATCTTTCCTAGAACAGAAAGCGGTACTCCAAGATTCCGCGCTAGTAAAGACCGCTTGAACCTCGTGGCCAGGAAATGGGCCCTCCAGTAGTGTTATAGACCTCCTCTAGCTCAGCCGACTTCTGTTTATTCAGCTTCAAAATTGATAGGAATGTTAAGGTATCTATTAATACTACTCTTAGTTATTGCGTGTAGCTTCTTATAAGCCGAAAAGTGTAATAGAATGACCCACCAAAAGATCCAGCACCTGACGGACCATCTCAGAAAACGTTCAAAAGTTCTGCCGGCTCAATGAATCTTATACGGTTACCGCCTTGCTTGATCTGATTTAGCCTCTCAATTAAATTGCGGAGGTTCATTGTCTCCGCACGAACGATCCAATTCCTAAATATCCTTTTAATCCTTGCGATATAGAGTCAATCCAACCTCTCCTCTCCATTATGGCCTCTACCCAGAAAGCTCGACGTCTCATTCTAACCACCGCGGTGGTCTCAATCACCATCGCCGGAACACTCTACGGCGCCGGTATCAAGACCGACCGAGAGGTCACCCAGGTATGGCCACAGGATGCCACTGATATTTCCCCGCCTGTTTCAATTGGCTAACTACTTTTTCTCCGCGAGTATAGACAGTCCAGAAAAAAGAGGAAGCTACAATAGACGAACGAATTACGTCTCTTCGGGACATGCGGCAAAATCTAGCGGCGAAGAAAGGGCTTGTTGAACAGCAGATCCGCGATCTTGATGCTCGAATTGAGGAAAGGAAACAGAAAGGCCTTGACGGATCAAAGAGGGAGCCTCCTCATAATGGCTAAATATGAGGCCATGGTTACAGAATTAAGTTTGAGGTTGGTGTTCCTTGAGAAAAATGACTTTGCTCTCCGACCCTTTGTGAAACCCTGATACCTATTCTTTGTTTCGCAGACAATAGGCCGTACTGGATTATCTATAATAATATAATGTGGGCTACCCCTTCGGTATATCGAGCCCTGCGCTAGGCTTGCTGGTTGCTACCAGGGTGATTTGCCCTCCGTGGTTTCGATAGGCAAGCTGAAACCAGTTTGAGGTTTGGTTTGACGACGAGATCACTATAGCTCTTACCGTGCTCGATCATCAATTTCTCTCCATATCGCGTCGCAGTCCTCATGCATTCACATTTAGATTGGGCCAAAGAAGCGGTCCAAGGCTGTTGCAACTCGAGAGTGGGCAGGTATGAGGGAACGAATCACTTAAATAAGTGTATGGGTCGGCCTCTAGCCGCGCGGATGCTGTGCATCCTTCAAATAAATTATTCCAGGCCCAGTTGCTTAACCAGGATATGGCACAACGATGAGCACCACTCAGTTACATCTAAAGATGTTTCAATTGAAATCTCATGTTCTATTTCTAATGAACGATTACGTTATAGGGGTATATTCAACTTGGATCGCCTTTATGAATATGTGCGTTGTCCGAAACTGGACTGGATAACTTCTCGGTGTAACGCCAGAGACTTCACAAATGAAAACACAAGTATATAAAAAGATAAAACGAGGGTCGCTGGCCCAACAAGATACGGCCAGCATGTCGTTTCCTTCCACGGCCAGATAATAACCAAATCATAATACATCAATCATCTAGAATTCCACGCGAGAGCGCCGCGAGGCTTGCTTCATAACGTGCAGGATTGTGGTCACTGAACATTCCTGATCCGAATCTCATTTCTCCAAAGACGGATTCGACGTCTCGAATAAACTTGAGCTGGACTCTAGTTGCTGGCCGACCTAGCCGCGGATGGCCATCATCACCCATATCGGACGTGAAAGCGTCCCGCTGCAGGACGCGCATTGTCTCGACCACGAATACCTCCCCCGGAGGCATCAGCTTAGGCGCGAGCATTTCCTCTCTAAGCATTTTGAGAGTCTTCCAGGCCCAAGCATCTTCGCCAATACCGTCACCAGCATGCTGGACTATAGGCGGCTCGTTGACGTAGAACTTATTAATGATGCTCTGGCGTAAGCTATTCCAAACACGGCCTTGTACATGCGATTTGGTTCCTGAAACGTCACTCTTGAAAGCCACCGACACCGTATGCATATCATGCAAAATTCCTAAAGAGAGGCTGGGTACCACATCATGACCGTTAACAATCGTCGTGATTAGCCCACGTGTCGCACGGCGAAGAAAAGGGGACATGGCTGCAGGTGGACCATATGCGTAAACGTGTATAGGTCGTCCCGAGGGAAGAAAACAAGCCGTCTGGTTAGCCTCGCTGCTTCCAGTTAGGAGTAAACGTTGCGCGGTGGCTTGATATGAGGCAGTCACAAACGATGCCCCGAAGCTATCATTCGTAGGTTCCGATATCATAGTAGCTAATAGTGCAGCAACGCCTCCACCTAGCGAGTGACCGCATAGCACCACACCGTAATCTGGGAATTCTTCCAAGGCAGCTCTAATTGTAATCATAACTTTCCCACCTCCTCCCATCAACAGTCGTTGCGCAGAAGCATGCATACCCTTATGAACTTTCCAGCTCTTTCCTTGCCATTCCAGGTCATCATAATCACAGGTCATATCTGTGAGGATATCTTCGAAGCCCCAAGTTCCCCTAAGCGTCAAGACAACGGCCTTCGATTCATGATCTAAGAACAGGTAATGGACAAGAGGAAAGCCGGTCTCCGTCTCCCCAGCAGCGTTTGACCCACCTGCGGGATCGACAAAGGATGATAAAAGAATTGTTGAAGCCGGTAGGCCGGTGTGATCTGAAAAGTCGCTGTGCTCTCGACTGTCAGATTCTTGATATGCAAGAGCCTTAGTCGTTGGTGGAACACCCATGACTTTGAGGGCATTTGAACCATAAGATGCCGAGGAAAACCGGAGGAAACGCCTAATATTTTGCACAAAATGCTTTTCGGGAAAGATTCCTGGTACAAGTCCATCGCGGCTTAATGCTTGCATAGTTTCCATATCATCATAAGCGCTCTTGCGGGACCGATGTGCGAGTATGAGTGAGGTCTCCGAACCAGCCGTCGCTAAAGAGTATATGCTGGGAGTAAACGTATGAGAGCCTCTGTGCAAATTTGAGGAGCTTGGACGCCCATCATTGACAGACACAGACATGTCCGTCTCAGACCGTGTGACTGACATAGAACTGCTGCTACGCACATGTGTCCTCACACCTGCAGAAGATCTTGGGCGCACGTTTGTCGAATAAGCATCGGTTTGCTTCATGAAAGATTCTTCATTCTTCTCATGTATTGCATAGAACTCAGGCATCGGACTCCTTTCGGGGGCCATTTCCCGTGCGCTAGTACCTCGTACTGTTGAAGGGACAGACAGTCGAGAGCTTTGTAAAGGCGATCTTGGTGAGCCTCGGTTCGCTACAGGCGAAACTCGAGCCTTGGAGGAAATTGGCGGCTTTTCCGGTTTTGCTTCTGCGGTAGGTTTCAAAGATTGCCTGGGAGCTGATGGTTTTCTTTCAGGGACAGAGCCTTTGGAACCCTTGCTGCGTTGGACAGAATGAACAGGTGGCGTGTTAGACTTGTCCTTCGCTGATAATCGCTTACTCTGGTCACTTCTCTCAACACTCGCCGGCTTCACTTTCTGTGCAATCCTCGTCAGGGAGCCTTTCCCAAACGAGCCTTTCGAAGTAGTGTCGGCTTCGTTTGAGGGGGTTAGAGGAGATTCTGTACGGTATCGTTTAGAGCTGTTAGAATTAGCGAGTAGCGTTGGCTCGTATGAAGATTTATCCAATCTATTCATTCCCAGAAAACGAGCGTTTCGATGGCTGCCATCCCCAATTTCAGCTTGGGTGGTTTGTATTGGCTTGTCTTGGGGTATAGCATGACGGTGATCTACGATAGTAGGTTCGACGTCAGGGAGTGAGTCAGTAATCGCAATACCTTGACTCAAGGAAGGACTCTGGTTGTCATGGTCAGAACTGATCTCGTATATGTCCGAGATATCGTCTCCACGTGATAGCCTCACGTCTGCACTTTGAGATTTATTGAAAGCCGTTCGAAAAACAACAGTGTGCTTGGGAAGTTGGGGAGGAGTCGAACCTCCACTACCGCCAAAGCACTGGTCGTTACGGAACCTTTCTTCGATCACCATCGTACCAGGCGGAGCAGCAATTTCTGCGCTGTCATCATCATAGATATCGACAGTAATAGTACGTGCAGTGACTAGATCAGTCTTGATCGAGGCACGACAGCCTTGAGGAAGTTGCTTCATAATATACAACCGGATCTCATCGTCGGACATTTGATGGTCTCCTAGAGGAAGCGAAAGGGAATGTTTCTCAGTCATATCACCCCTACTCGCCGGACGCTGCACAGCATCGAAGGTTTCGTCGTCATTGCCGGGCGATATGAAAGATGAACGCCTCGTTTCATCGTGAAAGTCGCTCCGAGGCCTTCTTGTAAGTTCTATCTGGTGCATCCCAACAACATCTGCTCTGACGCCATTATCCAAGATGACAACATCCCAGATTGCCTCGTCCCCACCATTCGTACGTATTTGTCGTTCTGTGTTTTTCCTTCCCCAACGTTGAAGCATGGCGAACCCAACTGTGCCTACTAGGAGGTCACCGACGCCAATGTTATCATGAGTCATAGACTCAACGCTTGGGTTCCGAAATTCTCTTCGGATAAGTGTTATGATAGCAGCTATGGCCCTTGACGACTCAGTTGAGCCGAGTATTGCATCAAGAGTAGACAAAAGGGCCTGAGACATATTTGAAGCAGATGAAAGAGTTGTAGAGGAGAAATGGAACGTTGCAGCGACGAAGAACGACGCAGACGTGACCGACTTGTGCAGAGCAGCAAGCTAACCATGAATCAGCCAATGTAAGTCAAATTAGAGTAGGCACTATATCTGAACTTACGCTTCGCTCTAGTATAGATTCTGCTTCTACTTTGCCATGTTCTCCGCTGCTCCTGGTAGCCACATCCCGCCCGGCTCTTGTCAGGACGCCTTCGATGACTGCTCTACTGAGCTCCAATCCCGTCAGCGTGGTAGCTCTTGCTCCATCGATAGCCACTCCTCCGAAAAAAGTCCCGACTCGGAGAGAGAGCGAAGTAGACTGGGTCACAAAGGAAACAATCGAAGCCACTGGACGTGGAAGTAGAGTCGCGCCTGATGTTGCGGGTGTATGGCTTGCGCCGTCATCCTGGGCCACTTCCAGATCAGGTTGGGCCTCAACTCGCCTCAACATCGGCACAAGGCCGAATATATTAGGCATTGCGAATCATTAAACAGATCACCTGAACCTTTCTTTCTTATTGTATTAACATTAAAAGGGTGTTTAGGATCCATGAGCGAACACATCCAGAAACAGGAAGAACTACATTCGTGGCAATGGCGATGAGACAAGAGATAATGTAAGTACGCTTTGCCAAATTAAATCAGCCCGTGGGATGAGGTTGCGTCAGTGACCGGGTTCCTGGCGGAAAGGCAATGAGGTGTACGGAGTAAGTCGTCTTGTAGATCAGCACCAAGCGGCAAGGTACAAGTCATCCTCCGCCTTCCGCGCATTAATCAGGGGGGGAAATTAAGTCCGTTGAGGAGAGTGTCGAATATTTGACATGTGATTTCCAGCTTCCGCCCAACAAGTTATTTAAAATCTACTTCCTTTGGAACCGGTTCTCGGTTATCAGAACCATGGAATCACATCTCATGATTAGCCGTTTTCTAAATACATACTAACTATTGATTCAGAACTTTATTCGTGATCGTTATTTGTTTTCACGGTTTATTCATTGGCCTTACATATCCGTACATTTGCTGTCTTAAATTCTACTCGCCGATTTCCATGACCGAGGAAGCACACTGATCT